TCTGGATGGATCCTCAGTCACGGCCTTAAGCATCAGGGTGATATGCTTTTTGTACATGCGAACAGCTGCTTCTGCTCTATTTGGCCATGGAGTACCAGGTCCTAAAGTAATCGGTCGGATATTCTTTCTATTGTAAAAGGCTTCAAGTTCAGTACCCATGAAACCTTGGTCCCCGACAAGATACTTAGGATTCAACTGGTATGTCTCAAAGTATTCCAAGAGATGGCCAATCGTTTCTGCTTCAGTCTTGCCGTTACATACGTAAGCAGTGGTCATAGAAGTAGCACCGTCATAGATAATCAGAAAAAGAAGTTTGGACTTATCGTTGACAGCAAGTTCACCATGATCAACAAAGGTGAGTTCTCCAAACGTTTCACTTCTCATACCTGAGATTCTTGATCTTGATGTGCAATCTTGGACTTCTGACATGTGTCACACTGCTTTACTACCTTTTCATACTCTTCATAGATCTTAGCAGGAATCTTCAAAGCTGATGTTCGTTTCTTGAACTGCTCAGTTGACATGTGGTAGTGCTTCAAATGCAGTTTCAAGAGTTCAGTTGGATGAGATAGCTTTTCATGGATTCTCTGCAATGCTAACGGCAATGTTACTGAAACCTTAGGAGCTTTCTTCTCTCGATGTACAGTTGTTGGTATTGGTTTCACGTCTTCCTTGGATTCTTCCTGAGGATCAGGCTTTACCGGCATGTCAGGTTCTGCTGGAGGTACGTCAGGCTTCTCGGCTCCTGAGCTCGAACTTGGAATCTTCGAATGCTCAAATGGCGTACCAAAATCCGGTGACTTCTCTGTCTTCCGGTATGTCGGAGGTGTCACCTTCTTAGCCGGTGGAGGCATCGAAATGAGCTTCGATGGCGGATCGACCTTGGCATCTCCACTTGCAATGTGTTTATCTGGCTTCTTAGCCGGAATATCGGCTGCTGACTTGTCTTCCTTCACTTCTGATGTCTCTGCCTTCTTGCATCCATCTTTGTATGTGTGCTTGCGATGCTTTCCGCTGCAGGCAGGACAGGCTCCATACGAAGGATTGATTGCCGTAAAACTGTGGTTCGGCTTACGAACTGAGCTGGCAAACATCATGATGTCTAGGACATTATGATTCGAAGTGCTCACTGGCAGCGAAAATCGCTTCAGACCGAACAAAGGACAAGTCAGATAGTCACCGACTGGAGTATGCTCAATAGACATGCGAAGGTTCCTGAGCTGCTCAACGCTGAAAAGGATTGGAACGTCACCTTGGTCCAGGATATCTATTGCTGTTGTGATCCACCCTGTGGGCGACTGGTCGTTCTGAAAGTAGATTACCAGCTTCTCTCGGACATTGGATTGTTCACCGTTTGCAAATGAGAATCGACTTGATGAAGGCTCAAAAGAAAAATCAATCTTAGATGCATTGTAGTGTCTCTTACATGCCTTCACTAGACGCATGATGGCGGTCCTTGAACCCATTGCTCTGGTACAGCCGCTGTCAATGATCACGTAGGTCGGACTGTACCTCAAGTCGATGTATTCAGAAAGCAAAGCATGGTGAAATCCATCGTCAAAGTTGACAAATGAAGAACAGAAGCGGGGATCAATCACTTCAGAACAACCGGAATGTCGGTAGTCTGTACTGCTACCGGCAGGGTTTAGGTGATACGGCTGTGAAACATGTTCTGCACCAGTCATTTCTTCTGCATATGTTCCGTAATGCCGGAAATCTGCTGACTGGTTCATCTGGCCAGGCCTTGGCTCTGAGCTATGGTGCTCTTCATCTTGCGGTCTGTCTGTCTGTCCGTCCGCAAAGTATGTCCATTGTTGCCAAGTGGCTTCATTTGCCTGCCAGACATCTTCAGGATAGTACTGATCTGTGTGATATCCGTACGAGTCCCATGACCAATTTGCTTCATGTGCACTCCAGGTTTCTTCGGCATTAGTGGATTGTTGAGCTGATGAAGGCTCTTCGGTGGTTGCAACATTAGATTGTTGAAAAGGATTCTGTTGCTTGCTTTTTCCTTTGCCCTTGAATGCATCTTTTCCCTTGAATCCTTTCTTTCCACCTTTCTTTCCTTTCTTGCCTTTTCCATAGAAACCTGAGTTGTCAGGGTACTCTGCATAATGTGCCCCTGCACCTTTGCCTCTACGGCTGACAAAGCCGGGTCTTCTGCCTTTTCCGCGGCCTTTTCCCTTGCCGCCTTTGGATGGTTTTCTGAATCTTCTTCTATGGATTCTTCTACGGGTGTATCCTCCTTTGGCTGCTAACACCCAAAATTCGGACTCTGAGAACAAACTCACAAATCCTTCTTCACCTGTTTCTTGATCCATCACCCAGTATCCGGATTCTTCTTCCAAGTCTCCTTCATCGAGGACAAGGAAAGTGGATCTTCTTTGCCTGCGGATCGAAGGGTCGGCAGTTCCTGTGGCGGTTCCGCAAAAGAGATCAAGGAATAAGCCTTTGACACCTAAGTATGTGTAGTTGTTCATGTTGATCTGATGCAAGGCCATGCTGGCTACAAACCTTTCTCTCTGCTGTTCGTTAAGATCCGACTGAACTAAGAAAATAAGTGACATCAGGTTGTCAGACAATGGAAAGGTGTCACGATGTGCTTGTTTCAAAGCATCAATGTGTTTAGAACGGATTCTTTCTGCGTTCTCTCTTCTTTCTGCGGGATCTTGAAGCCCTTGAAGTAGCATGTACTGCTGTTGCGAGAGGATATCAGTAAACTTGAAATCATCAGGCTGTGGGACAGTCGAAAGATCTAACAAGCCCATGAAGGCTTCCATGACTTTCTTGCTAGCAACTTCAAAACGAGCGATCCAGCTTACAAATTCCCCGTTTCCGCGCCAGGTCCTGAAGAGCTGCATGAAACGCCAAAGAAAAACATGATTTGCTCCTTTGACAAAGTATGGTCGCAACGTCTCTTTGAAATACGTAATACCGTTTCTTTCATGACGAAGCTGTTCATTGTCGAGCATTTTCTTGTAGTATTCGGCGTTTCCGGTTAGAGCGTTCTTCAATGATGGGCCTAATTTTTCGGCGCTTAATGTGGTGATGTTCACCCAGTCATCAATCGAATCTTCAAACTCGAACCAAGATGACTGTCCATCGAATGACGGAGGAATCTTTGGCGTCATCTTGACACCTGCTGATGGCTGTGCCTCGTACGTCCGGTATGTCGAACTCGAGGACCTTCCATGCTGTTGGCGATGACGCGAACCTTGAGCTGCAAAAGCTTCTTCTGGATCTGTTACGTCAGATAGGTCGCTGTCATGCTCTTCGTCCGTATCTATGTTAAAGATCTGGACCATGGTCTATTTGTTTGACAAGTGACTGACTTGGTTGTCCCCTGTCCGGAATATCGGACGATTCGGCACAAAGGCAAAATCGACCAATGCGAAGCAGGAGACACAAGCTCCGCTACCACTTTGAGGGGTAAGTTCGCCCAGAAGTGGCAGTTGGAATAACTGGACCTGATCGAAACACCAAGCAGTCAAACACAAGCGGTCGGTGTGCGAGCTGCGGCGAAGCACACCCTTTTCTATGGCAGTGAATGCAGTATTGGGCTGCTGAGTCTTGAGCCAAATGAATTATGTCGAAAGCGGACTGAAGAGCTACAGATAGATGTATGTACAAGAATAGGTGCTACACACGTATAGCGTAGACACGCCCAAAAAAACCTAGGACCCTACTAAACACAGGGGGGGGGTCGAATCAATTGGTTTAACAATTATTTCTCGAGGGGGGGGGGGGGGGTGGGGGTGTTAGACATTGACCTACCAATCTTTAGTCCCGAGCAAGCTCTCAAGCCAGTCCCTTTGCTTCGCAAAGCAAACTCAAGGTAGTCCTTACCAGGCTACCTTTCGTGATTATTCCACCCCTCTGTCCAAGCTTGTCTCATCAGTTACGGCCACAATTGTGGAGGCAATTGCAACCAATTGTACTCAAGAACTCGTTGCAGCAACGTGGGAAAAGTATGTATTATCCAGGTCCAAACCTGTTGGCAGGAATCTGGAGGATCTTCTCTAGCACGAATTTAGGAATGCAGTTTCCAGGACATCTTAAGCACATCTGTGTCATTTGGAGGTGCCACATGCCACCTCCCGGCCGCCTTCAAAGTCATCTGGTTTCACGGTCTCACCCGCACACAGGGCACATGCAACGCACCTAAATCTGGATAACATGTGACATAGAGTTAGTTCGGTAAGTAGCCCTCCTGACCAGAAAGGGAGAAACCTTTGAAGGAGGAGGAGCAAAGGGAGGCTGGAGATGCACGAGGCGGAGCAAAGTTCAAATGATCCAGAGTTCAAGCAGGATGCCATCCCAAGTAGTTGCCAATGCATAAATGGGACAAGGAGCAGGCAATAATGCAACCGCAAGATACACTCTTGAGCTTGTTTGAGAAGGCCCTGAGGGGCGTGAATTGTGCTGGAGCGGAATCACATAGCTCCTATAGCCTGTAGCTTTTGGCTGGGGGAGGGATGTGCTTTTTCGCTTGAAACGAAAATGCATATTCTGGATCATGTGATGAGGACGTTGGTATGCTGGCAGTGAGAAATTACTCAAACTGTTGAATTGAGTCTTGTTTGCCTTTCATGGACCTAGTGATGCAAATGATGCAAGTACACATGGGGTGATCATGAGTGAGAAAAATAAGTTGAAATAGTAGACATTGATGAGACATACAATGCAGTGGATTAAACAGAAAAAATAAATATTGGAAATAACAAATTGTAGGCATTGTTGGACATAAGTTGGACCCCCTTTAAAAAAGACAATTTCAAGTGGATCGCAAAATGGAGTAATAGACTTCAATTCAATCGAATACGGTGGGGTACGGTACACCGGTACACTAGTATAGCACAATGCGAGAAAAACAACTGATGCGGACGGTTGTAGGTGTAGATATACAGGTCTAAGTGCTCCCATGTCCATGTTCCCCTCCAAATCTTCTCTTTTGTGCATCCAGTGCTCAAGTGACCCGAGAGATGAACCAAGGACTGCACAGGACATGTGCCAATGTCATAAATAAAGCCACATCCGCCAATGCCTTAGAGCAAGGCAAAGATTTCTCTACTATATAAGGTCTGACAAAACTCAATGTTGCTGCTAGCGGCTAACTTCTGGCCAATGCGAAAGCTAGAGTGGAGGCCATGCTCGGCCAGTTGGCTAAACTGCTACTTGGAATGGCTTGCTCCGCCGTGACTTCTGCCCACTAACCAGCTTTACTGCACAGAATGACAGAGTTGCGTTGCGGCCCCATATTCAGAATGTCAGGTGCATCCACTTCTATGTGAGGAACGCAAGGAACTAGCTTCTTGAGAATCTTTGGTGGAGTGGAGTTTGACAAGTGTTGTTAACTGTGGACTCCCTATGTTCTGCTTAAAGACTTGAAGAAGGCACTGAGAAGGAAAATCATGCACAATGTGATGGCAAAGCGAAAGAGAAAGAAGAGTCCTGCATCTCTGCCTGCGCGGTCTTATTCGAGCAAAAAGTGCCTCAGGCTTTTCGCCCATCTCCTCCTCAGCAAGATGCCGTGTTTGAGCTTTTACGCTGCTGGCGCTTGCCCCCAGGACTCAAGCAAGAAGCAAGCAAGCAAGCAAGCCAGCCAGCAAGCAAGCAATCAAGTAAGGGTGATAGAATCACAATGCATACTGGCCTCATGGTCACCCTTCCCTGCACCAAGGTCAAAGGAGGAAAATAGCTCTCTTAAGCTGAGTCCACAAATCTGTCTCATAGGCTCTGGATCCCATTTGGCCTGGCTCCACTTTCTTCTTCTTTCCTTCGCAAACCAGAAAGATCTTACCTTCAGGACCCGATCTGCAACAACTTTAGATTGTTATTATATACATGTGCTGCTCAAGCTCTGTCCTGCTCTCTCTCCATCACCTTAGTTGCTGTTCTGGTCACCACGGTCTGTCTTCAACATGGTCACCAGTCGAGCCAGAAAGTCTTGACTCAAGTTTGACGTCTGCTGCTTGAAAACATGTCTTGCGAATACTTGCGACAAATCATGGTGCTTGTGTCCAATGCAAAAAATGTACCTGGGTGCAGCTGAGTCACTAGTCATCTCACATGCATCACATTGGACGGATGTTTTCAAGGCTACTGCTGTGAAAGCCAACAAACGGGTTAGCATAACTCGCATGAGCAGCGTAGAACAAAAGCGGGGCTTGAATCCGTTCAGCCCATTCCACCAATGTGACTTGCTTCATCTTTGCAGAAATCAAGAGTGCAACACCGGTTCACGTCAGCTGAAGAGTAGCCCAAACCGTTTACAACAAAGTCTCCATCTTGGATGGGAGAAAAAGACACTCGTGGGGCACGCCAATAGCCCCATCGAGAACATGTCGGATTCCAACCTTGGGTGAGCAGCACTACACGACTTAAGGTTTTCACAAATGCTTGCAGCAAGAGGTTTGGTTGCATTCAGCTTCACACCCACATTTTGCTGGAAAGCCACACATTTCAGGCGCTGCATACCTCTTTCTCTGCTTCACACAAGCCGACACAAAGCAGCAGCACAAACCGTCGCAAGGACCTTGGTGATGGCTCGTAAGAGAGATTTCCAGGTGCCTGAACGATACACAACACCTTGCAAAGCAAGCTTGCAAGGCATGCGAACAACATCTGTTCGACCTCCTGCCCTGAAAATGCAAAAGGACAGTCCATCATCTGTCCCCATTGTACCTTAGCAAATGTTTCAAGCTCAGTTTGCTTGCGAACAGACCGTGGAAGCAAAGAAGAGGCGCAAGCTCCGCTGAACGAAAAGCCTAAACCGCCCAGTAGCCACTTCCCCTGTAAAAGAGGAAGCAAATTCAGACTTCGATGTTTGTGCGCATTCTTCTGGCCGCCTGTGGATCTATGAAAATGCTGTACGGAGAAAAGCCCAAATGGGCAGTCTTGGCATCCTCAGTCACGAGAGTTAAGAAAGAAAAAACTAATTTAAAAAATGAGAAGACTTCAGCAAAACTCCCAAGCTGAGGAACCGAAAAGACTCAGTCTGTTGAATGTGGAATGTGGCAAATGGCACGGTTCGGCGACAAAAGCAAGGGCTGCCTCATGAAGAAACTGCATTGCCTCCGCAACATCCAAAAGGCCACACCTAGGAGGTGATGCAGTCGCACTGGCGACACGTCATAATAATGCAATTTATCAACAAAGCAAAGAAGTTAAATTCAGATCTGCAAAGTAAGCAAAATGAGATTTGAGATTTGTACCTGCATTTCTTGTAGAAGTGTGCTTCCAAAAAGCTTTGCGGTTTTACTTTTGTTTGTTCTTGGGCTGGAAGTAGCTAAGATGCGCACTTCATTTCCAAATTTGACAGTTCATGCCTGTTGTTTTCCAATAGCTGAGCAACTGTCCCTCAGTGGATAAAATCACAAACAACCGAAGGATCTCATGATCAAACGATGTAAAATTGACATGCTGCTTGCATACTGAGAATAGATTCAGCAGGGAGTGCTTCAACTTGGGTCGAGTTTGAGCCGCACTCTCAAGTGATGTTTTTTGAAAACTGAACAGTGGTGCTTTTGAGCAACTGCATTGTGTCATAATTATGGTGTGACATGACATACTTGACAAACTATGAACAAGAGCTCATGAATCGAAGGAATCAAAGCCCTGAACCCACCACTGGTTTGGTTGCAAATGCCAATGTGCTTCTCTCCTCCACGAGAGCCTGCGGTATATCTGTAGGATGGCAGGGTTAAGCAACAATCAAGCCACCATCTCTCATCTTGAGTTCATGATATTTCTGAAGACTGTGGTTGATGGGTCTGCTGGTGAAGGTTTCAACAAAGAAGGTCCATCCAAAATCTAGTTCTGGATGTTAAACTATACCAGTACAGTCAGTCAGTAGTGCTAATGCAAAAAGAAAAAGGAACTACCACTGCACATTCTGAATCTGGAAAGGTTTGAGCGTCATCAGGAGGCACCATGACACATGTACACTCAGGCCTCAATCACACTCAGTATGTGCGGATGACGAAGTCGTTGTAGGCTCATTGCATCCTTGTTCCCACAGCGGCTAGTAACGCATGAAACAGGTGAGCACTTGCTGTATGCCACCCTCGGAGTCAAAAAATTTGGAGAGTGCCCCACATCTGAAGAGCGAGCATCAAACAGTATTCGCGAAGAACAAAACGAATCAAGCTTTGCAACCCAACAGCAAGTAGCAACTCAAGTGACTCGGGTTGTTCAAACATTCCAACTATGTGTTGCTAAAGCTCCCAAACCGAACCCAAATCCCATTGCTAACTGCAAAGGGAGCTGGGAGGGAGCAAGAAGGAGAGCAGTTCCAAGGTTCAAGGGTTCCGAGACAGCATTCCGAACATAGAGGCTTCCAAGATGGCAGCACCCAAGTGTCCAACGTTTACATGACCTGACAGCACCCACGGTCCCAAGGAAGGGGTCCAACACAACAGCACACAGGGTTGCACGGAGGAGTTCCGGATCTTGGGCGGGTGACAAGCTGCGCACCCCTCCCAGCCCCAGAGAATGAAAATTGAAACCCAACTGCATTCTGCTGTTGGGAACAAGCTGCAAAAACCAAGATGCAAACAAACCAACACCAGCCAGGTTCCAAGGTGGGACACTAAGCACTGCCACCAAAATCGTAGTCATACAATATCTCCAATATGTTTGTTGTTGCCCTGCCCCGCAAACGCAGCACACAAGGATGGAATTCCGCTTCAAGCACTCCCAGTCCAAACGGCGCACACAGCACCCACAATTCCATGATGGAATTCCGGTGTTCGAGCCTTGTAGACAACCACTCCCAGCCCAGGTTCCAGACAGCCCCACGGTTCCAGGATGGAATTCCGCTTTTGGAGCGCCGTGGACAACCTGTGCACTGCTCCCGGCCCCAGAGATTGAAACCCAACTGCATTCTGCTGTTGGGAAATCCTGCAAAGCTCCCAGGGGCTTTTTGATGCTTTTGAAGATGTGTGTGGAAGCGGAGCTTGCATGCCAGGTTTGGAAACTGGTGGGTGTTGACCGTGTCTCGACGTAGACTTTGGAAACTGGCAGAAAGAAGTCTGGAAGTGGGCTTTGCAATCGCAGCTTCAACAAAGCAGCAAAGCAAATTGACAGCATCCTGTAAGACTACGCACCTTTTCTCCGAGTCAAAGGGGCTGCAGGTCAACTCTATGATGCAAGTTATGTCATGCGCAAAATAGTTCGCACTCCTTCTTGGCATAGTGATACGCTAATATGCTTCTTTGAGCTCACTTTGCCACCATTCTACGCTGCTTCCATCTCACTCTTCTCTTTCTCTCTGCAAGCTGTCTACTCTCTCAGGAACTGGATTCCAGGAGATTGGTGATCTCTCTGCGGGTGGTCTATCTGGAAAGTTTCTCTTCATGACTGCACATTCCAGCATTTCCTTATACTTTTCCATCTCTTTCTCTACCATATCTGCTGCTTCATGATGTCCTTTACTCATGAGGTTCCAGTGTCTCTCATGGAGTTGCCCTAGCTTTGCTTCAAATCGACCACGCCGTTGGCGCACCGCTCTGCGATATATTGTTCTCTGACGGACATTTCTCTGTTACCTATCTTGAACATCTTGTTCAATCGTCCTTCTGATGGCGTTGCCCCATCTGTGCTTTCAACATCACTCTATGACTCTATGTCAGCGATACTGTTTTGTTTGCTTGCATATCTTCCAAGCTCCTTCTGGCTAAGAAGTTTCCTGCCTTCGACTCTTGTAGCACATCATTGGCAAAGACTGTTGGAACATCTGGTGTTTCATGTTCAGTAAAGCCTCCATTGAGAATCAATCCACAATGAATTCTCCTGGCATAGTTGTGTAATCGGTCAATTTTCTCCTCATCACGCTCTACCTTACTAACATCTCTCTCAACATCTGACGCTAGTTTCACTTTCTGTGATCCTGAACTCTATACCATCTGTCTTCCATTCAATGTACTGCCAATTGTCATTGTAGCGTCTTCTGTATGACCCCATAGCTCATCGCTATTCCTTTCAAGTTTCAGTTCGAGGCGCTTGAAGATCCTGTAGATC